TCGGAGGGTCACGATAGTTAGCACCATGGGAACTAAGACGCGCGAGACCGAGCAGCTCGTGCTCCGTCTGCGGACGACTCGGCCACAGGTATCCATGTTAGTCAACCTAGGAGTCTTGAGCTTGATTATATTGAGGAGAACTCGAATATCATGCATACACATCGCGTCTGAGCTAGTTAGCATAATTTAGGAGGCGTCGCATAATTGCAGGCGGCCGTCTGGGATGAACGTGTTTTGACAAGCGCTTTTGGACGGGTGATTTTTCTTGGGCAATTTCATGCAGAATCTGGATTCACTAGTGAGTGAGTGAAATCGACAACGAATTATAGAGACACAGCTTGAGTTTGGGACAAGTTCATTAGCCAGGAGTGGTCGCCAGATGACATTATTTGCCAAAGTTGGCTTTCACCCCAAGCTTCCCAAAAGTTTTCCATATCGACGTCATACCCAATTCTACGGCACCTTTTCTCAGAGACATCCTTATGACGTCTCAACACCATCATGAGATAATGTCCGGTAGCGCTGACTAGCTTTGATGTATCGCCATCAAGATCGCATCATGAATGAGGCGGGATAGTTCCTTGGCTTTGGCCTTTCACTTTCGAGCACGGATTGAGCGACTTTCTAGTCAGAAGTTACGGACCACCCTCCAAGGGCATCAGGAAGTGTGTATAATACATACTAAAGACTCATTTTCATCAGTACAAAGTATACATCAGATCGTGGTCTGCGTGAGGGGGGAAGGCTATCTCCACGCTCGTTCCTCAGGGAGGCGTAGGTCCTCAAAGAGTATGGAGGTCTGAGCGTTGAACATGACGTAGAGATGTATCCTGGGCAGCCCTTCTAGAAGGCTTCTTTTCTCGATCGATGCTCTGCTTGGCGTTGGTAGTGACGTTTCCACAGAAGGTTCCGTTAGTCGACAGAATATGCCAAAGTGCATAAGGGAAAAAAGGAAATAGAACAAGAGTTTCGGTTGGTCGAATCAGCTGCCAAGTCTGGTAAATAAACAGTCGACAGCTTGTCGAGAAGATGGTAGTTAAAGACAGCTGAGAATCCGAGCAGTTGTCACCCGCTGAAAATCCTCAATTGACAACCGCTACTTCTGTTACCAGTTCAAAGAGTCGACGACTATTTGGAATAGCGGAATGATCCTTGCCCTGTAAAGTGCAAATGATTCAATTCGCGACACTTTCGAAGCCACCTTGGACTTCAAGAGGCATATGTCGTTCTCGGTCATGTTAATGTTTGGGCATTTATTAGGCGACGAACATTGACATAGACTATGTCCATTTGGATGAAATCTCATTTATTTCAATCAGAATGGCTGTTGATTTTGTCAAGTAACGCAGGTAGACAACAATAAGGCTGGACTACTCCAGCGTTCGTGGACGTAATCAAATAGCTGCGGTTGTGGAAGAGTCCGGAGCCAAGCCTCAAGTTCAACCCAACATCATGGAGATCGGCAACGTATCTCCGTGCCAAGTAAACAGATGCAAGAATTTTCCGTGCCGGATTTTCGACCGGCAATTGTTTAATGATCAGATAACTTATCGCTGGCCAAGAGATCCAGGCTTGTCATGCCAAGCTTTGTCTCTTGGCGTTTACCCATCAACGCGACAAAAGTTTCACCACGATCCACCACGCTTTCACCGCTCTTATCCTCGGTGTTCGGAGAAGGTAAACAGCATCGAGACTCATCCGAGGTTCGGAGATGATCAACCTAAGATTGCCTAACATCTTGAATTCCTTTTCTCAGCAAAGTGAGATTTTCAAGTGGATGTTGATTTGCCCCAGAGGCATCGACCACGTTGCCGTCTAACTGGGTACTGGTGTTTTTGAGTTGCCTGATGGGGCTCAATGCCTCCAGATATCCACTTTGAGACCCCCGTTTCCTGGATTTCTCCTGCAACTTATTACCTAACATCCCTGAGGCGACCGCTGTTCTAGTTGAACCAGCTTCCTTTTTCTTCTTACAACCGATTGTGCCATCTCTCGTCACGCAAGTCTAAGACCATTCTAATGCAGGCCGAGAAAATATTTCAATGTTCGTATCATCGTTGATATGTTGATAAGAAGTTGAGAGCCGACGCTCGCTTCTTTCTTTCAAAGCCGGGTTCCCCACGGTTCCGATGCCGGGTGCCTGCAAAAGACCGGCCCGGTGAACCCCTGGTCAAGTCTCCTCTTGCCAAGACACCAGCGATATGAGATTTTGGGTAACGAGAGTGAACATGAACTCTAAACCCTAGGACAATGACATACGCGCGATTACTTTTCCCGCGATCTTGTTTGCTCGGCTGCGCCACCCTCGTGGGTTCATCCCACGTTGTTGCAGTGACAGCGGAGCCGGGCCCTGATAGTCGGTAACCGAGCCTCTGGGCATGACACGAGAAATCGACTAAACCCAGCCTCCACGCCGAAAGACTTTCGGTAACGGGACCGGTCTTAATCTAAATAGATGATATGCAGTTTTCGAATGGTCTGCTAAGCCTTTGTAATAACCATCAAGGTGCTTGATGACACTTCATTCGGTTGAGCCTCATGAACGTCGGCGAGCCGTAGTAGGGGCATTTGAATAAGAGCGGACAGATTTGCCCGCTACCCTTGGGTCTTTGTTCTGGTCAGCTCTTCACTTGCTCTCGTCTTCTCGCCAATCAACAAGACAACATGGTGGCTCGGTGGTCTACCTTCCTTACTGCTGCAGCAACTCTCTGCCAATCAGCGGTTGCAGAGCCTGTCTTCCGGGACACCATCTCCTTCAAGGGGCCATTTGAAGTCGAGAGCAATGGCATTCGAAATATCAACATCGAATACAACGGGTCTCTCGATGGCGAACTTGCCATTGTCTACGGCGACTGCGACTTGAAGTCTTCCCAGGATGCACACCACAAGATCGGTCGGACCCACATTGGATCTCACCCGGCGGCGAAGCGTCATCTTGAGTGGACTGACCAGCGCCCTACCAAGTTCGTTTGGATGGTGCCTGAAGATGTGACCTCGGGATGTTTGCATGCCTTTGTCGACAGCCAGCTCGTCGGCCGTTCTACGGAGCACGTCGTCAAAAGCCGAAAGATGAGGAAACGCGCCACGTTTGCTGACTCCACTGACCCTATGGGTCCCTGGTTTGACGGCGTTGAGTACCTCAAGCAAAAGCAACCCGATGAGGTCTTTGTTGCGTCTGTCAAGAACAAGACGTTTGGCATCTTGGGTGCTGGTATTTCCGGTCTCCACACCGGTGTAAGTAGTTTTCGGACTCTGAATTGGGGAAGTCTCGCTGACAAAGGTTTCAGTTGCTGCTTGACTCGGTTGGCATCCATAACTGGAAGATCCTGGAGTCTTCCGACAGGATTGGTGGTCGCATTCGCACCACTTACTTGAACGGCACCTCCTGGGATGAGGGTCAACATCATGAACTGGGCCCTATGCGGTTCCCCCATTCGATCCATGATCCCGACACCAACGAGACATACCCCATCAACGACCAGAAGATGATTTATCAGCTTGCTGATGTCCTCAACGAGATCAACAAGGACGCCGATCCTGCCTTGCAAATCAATTTCATCCCTTGGCTGCAGGTTTCGGACAATGCGCCAGTTGCGACAAAGCAGCGTCGTCCCGATGGCACGGTTCCGGGCCGCAAGGAGATTGCTGCGGATCCCTCGCTTCAGAGCAACACCACCTACTCCAACGCGACTGCCGTCAAGGAAGCGATTGCAGCGCTGGATGATTTCAAGGACTTGACTCCTGAGAAGGCGAAGTTCTACGCTACCAATGTCTTCCAGGCCCACAAGCAAGCCGTTGAGCAGGGCATGTTCGACTTCAGCGAGGTTGAATACTTGAGATATGTGATGAAGACGGACCTCAATGTCACCGATGAGGCTACCCCTTCCAACGTGGTCTGGCCAATGTGGGAGTTTGAGACGGTCTACTTCATGGCCAATGAGTGGCGTACCGTTGATGGTGGCATCAGCCGTCTTCCCGCTGCCTTTGAGAACATCGTCAAGGACCGTATTGCCTACAAGACCAAGGTCTTCAGCGTCCAGTACAACGAGGAAGAGAACAACCTAGACGTGACCTGGCGCCAGACGGGCAGCAACCCCTGGTTGAAGAACACCACAACTGAGACCTTCGACTACGTTTTCAACAGCGTTCCTCTGAATGTTCTCAAGTACTGGAAGCTGCCGCCTCACTCCAGTCTGATGCGCCGCGCCATCGAGCGCACCGTCTTCCTGGGTGCTGTAAAGGTTGCGATGCAGTATAAGACCCGCTTCTGGGAGCACCTCGAGCACCCCATCATTGGTGGCTGCGGACGTACCGACATCTACGGTATTGGCCAAATTTGCTACCCCTCTTACAACATCAACGCCACAGGCCCTGGAGTTATGCTCACTTCTTATGCACCTGACGCCGATGCCGTTGTTGCCTGCTCGATGCCTGCCGAGGAGCATATTGCCTACATTCAGCAGGCCATGGTTGAGATCCACGGCCCCATTGCTGACGAGATGTGGACCGGCAACTACGAGCGTCACTGCTGGGAGCAAGATGAGCACCACGCTGGTGCTTTTGCTGTACCTATTGTTCCCCAGCAACAGCTCTACCTGCCCGCTTTCTGGCAGACGGAGTTTAACACGGTCTTCATTGGTGAGGCCACGAGCTTTACTCACTCATGGGTCTTCAGTGCCCTTGAGAGCTCTACTCGTGGCACTGTACAGATGCTACTCGACCTCGGACTTGTCGATGAGGCGAAGGAGATTACCCGTACTTGGATGGCCAGGTGGATTAGCGTCTAATGCCGTGATCAAGACTTCCATCGCCGGCAAGCGATTCTCAGTGGAGTAGCATGGAATGATATAATGAAGAAACGCACGAGGAGGGTGCTACTCATGATCGAGGCGGGATGATTGATGACGAATGTACGTAGAAAGTTATTCAGCCAACGTTCATATCTAACCTATCTCATCCCCTTGCTCTCGTGATATCCCACGCCTAAACATCTCAGTTCTTTAGTATGCGAAAAATAAAAGCATCACCAGGCTCAACCAAACGGCTATATGCATTTGTGCCACGAGAGAGAATGATAATCTGCTTGCGACAGACTCGGAGTCGGAGCTCGACGCAGACGCGTCAGCCTGCAGATCCCAAGTCAAATTGACACTTGTTGACTGGGTTTCGCCAATGAAGCCTACTCCACCAACATAGTCTTCGAAGGCCCATTTGATTGACAGACCATCGTCGCTGTAGAGTGAGTTGAGATTGTCCTCGCCCATTGCTGAAATTTCATCTCCGTCGCTGTCGATCACACGTGCCTCGGTGAGACGCCCTGTCGACATGCGCGCTTTTGCTTCGTAGCCCATGCCGTCCAGATCACCGAAGGGGGCAATGACAACGTTGGTTTTGTTGTCTAACGTTCGTCGAACAGCAGTTTCGGATCCTGAACCCAGCGATTCTGCTCTGGTATGTAGGGTGTTGGCACCTCCGTTTTGACAAGACTGAAGATCCGCTGGTTGCACAGTCGAGCAGTCGAGATTCAACACCCGCACAATGAATTGGTCGTCTGGCTTGATGTTGTTATCTCTGTACCACGAGTTGAGATAGTATCCTTGTAGCTGATTCTCCCAGCCAGTTACACAGCGGATCCAGGCGCCATCACCACCTTCAACAGTCGACTTGAAGGGGAACTCGTCGCATTCGGTCCGTCTGCCGGCTTCGGCTCCGGATGACTTGGTTACTCCTTTGCAACATCCTCGGCAGCCTGATCCGCGGCCTCGTTGACGGGAACAGCGTTGGCCGTCACCAGCGTAAGTAAGGACTATCTCTTGTGCTGAGCGCCCAAGTTTGTGTCGAATGCCTGTAGGTATTGTCAGCCATGTGTGAAAATCGCACCGGATGGTCAGAGACAAACCGAGACATATATTAATCGGGACCTAAACCGTATTTTAAGCCATCATTCAGAGTATGATAGGGCAGCAACTTACGTCAAGTGCCACTATGGGGCTGATGTAGACAAATTCCATGACTGGTAGATTCGAGGAAGTAGGCTGTGGAATGCCCGTCACCGATGCATGTTTGCATTCGGAGCTAGTCGCACTTCCAGCGGCAGTTGATGTCGGTATCTTTGGCGTCTGGATCTTAGGTGTCGTGAGACTTGGTAGAGCTGTTGAGGAGCTCGAGCTTGAGGAGGACGTCTGAGTAGATGGTTGTTGTGACGTCCTCTGCACCTGACATTCCCCGTAAGCATTGCCACACTCGGCCCCTGATGGGCAACCTGAGAAGCCGTCAGTCAAAATCACATATCTCGACTATCTCTCAGACAACTCTTACAGGCTCCAGGGCAGCACTTAGTGCCTGCACTACAGCAACGCTCGTTATTACAGCAAGACCACCCCGTCTCACAGCACCCGTCCGAACAGCAAGACTCTCCGGCCTTACAACCCCAAGTACCACTGCCGCAGCATACAGACCCAGTTACCAAACACAGCTTTCCGCCGCAAGTCTCTGACGTCTTGGAGCAGCATTTGTCCGTTGAGGGAAAGCAAAAGGCATATGATGGGCAGCACCCGCCTGTATCACAACAGGGACCTTGTATGTCAGGGCAACAGCTGCTGGGGCACTATCAAAAGGTCATCAGGGAGCACTCCGCAGATAGGGGATTCGAATTCAATCAAACAAAACCGTACGCATTTCTCAGACGATTTGCAGCAGCCATTGCCGCAGTTGTTCTCGCACGTTTGCCGACCAGAGAGGCCAAAAAGAGAGCGAGCGTCGAGTTGACCGCTAGAACTTTTCTCAATGAAGACGGGGTCGAGGCTGGGATGGATGTTCATAGATGAGTCGGTCTGTCTTTCCGAAAGGAGGCCTCTGGTATCTTTGCTGTTGGGCAGCGAAGGGTCGGAAGCAAAAGCTTGCGAAAGAATGGAAAGTATCCAAAAAGAATTAGTTCTTTTCATCGTTAACGTCGTACTCTCTTTTCTCTTGTGATCTTAGTGTTGGTCATGAATGCTATGAGAGAGAAACGCAAATGAGATCAAGTAGGAAACCTGATACCAAAAAGTGCGAATTGTCTTTCATTTACCGCTGGCATCTGATGCGAAGAGCCTCCATTCATCCAGGGCGCAACGTCCCGTCGCCACTTCGCTTAAGCTTTGCTTGATTTCTGGCAGAGGCTCAGTGTGTCAGATTGCAAAATGACCCATCAGGATTGGTTGACCCGGGCATCAATTGCGCCGAGCGATGTCATTCTAAGGGAGAGCTGAAAACAAACAGGCACAGACAACATGCTTCATATTGCGTTGTGGCTTGAACTAGGCCAATCGCCGTAGTCTTTGCCGCTGGCTTGCAGAAACCCCATGTACAACTCCGTGATCGGCTGATTAGCCACTCTATTGTCATTGGACATTGCCATTCGACGCATGTTTTGGCAAAGATGCGGGGAAGCTTAGCGCAACGTCAAGTGAATATACGCTCTTCATTTCAACACAGTTCCAGGTTTGGTGTTGGTCTTCAAAGGAGTGTATCCAATTGCAACTAATCTCGTATTCAACCTGGAAAGTCTCGGTGACTATCAAGTGTTGCATCCGACGGGCACCTGTGCTTGTTGCGTGCCTACGTCTGACTGAGGCACTATCTTCGAAGTTGGTGGGCTGGCTGCATAAGCGCAAAATCGCTGCCAAGAAAGGGCTGAGAGGACTTTTCTCGAGGAGGACTTCGGCAGCTAGGCGAGAAACAGTGAGAGATCCCAGACCCTCAGGCCTTTCTCTAATGGACAAAATGAACACACATTGGACGGAATCGCATGAGCCAAATGTATGTCAGGAGGTTAAAAACATCGCAAGTGCCGGGGCCACGTAAAATGGTACACCCAGCGCCCTACTCTAACAGCTGTCATATTTGGAAATGACATGTGTATCGTGGCAATACTCAAAGTCTCTTCGATTCAATCTGTTTCTCAGTCTACATTTATCATCAACACCCCGCAGAAAACCAGCTGATTACAAACGACCAGCACGAGCTGAAGCAGGAGTCTCGTACTTCCACTGCTTGCACCAATGGATCATCAACTCCGGCGTGACAGGTCCGACTGATCGGAGAGAGGGACTTGCTGCTGCTGTCCTCTTTGTGATGAACTCCTTTGTCGTCTTCTCATCTCCCTGCGATACCCCGCGGTAGAAGTCCAGCAACTTCAACCCAGGGTTGCGCTCGGCACCCGAGTCTCTGCTGGCCGTCTTGCTCGCCTCGAGACGCATGACCCACTCGGGGAACGTCACAAGGTCGGGAAGACGGCTCTTGCCGTAGTACTGCTGAATAGCAGGCACGAACTTATCGAACGACGTCGGAGACGGGTTGGCACCGGTGAAGTACCCCTCGTGGTACTCAGGCGATTCCTTCGTGAGGCCGCCAACATCCAAGATCATTCTTGACATAATTTCCACAGGAACCCAAGACACCTCATTCATGGTGGCTAGGTTCTTTGGCAGTGCCTTGATGTGGAGACTGCTGGCGATGATGGATGGCAGCCACTCCTGACGACTCCAGGCACCTTGCTCGGCAAGAGGTCCAGCGATCTGTCCGACGCGAACCACTGACAACGGGAAGTCTCCGACCTTTGCGGCATCTTCCAAGATCATGCTGGACACGAGCTTGCTCCTGCCGTATCCGATACCGCCGCCGATCTTCCAATCTCCTCGGAGAGACTCCTCTGGAACTGGACCACGATCCGGAGTCCAGCCACTCACGGTGCCGATGGTAGAGACGAACACCATAACAATACGTCTGTCTGCTTTCGCAGCGAAGTCGGCCAAGTTGCGCACGCCTTTGACGTGGGGCTCAAACGCCTCGAAGGGCATGTTGAAGTTCACGGCCCAGGCGTTGTGAACCACACGGTCAACCTCCTTCAAAAGACGTCCATAGATCTCCTCGCGCAAGCCCATGTTCGGCTGTGCCAGGTTGGTGTGGAAGAATTCGACTTTGCCGCTCTTGCTGGGAGACACTAATCCGCGCTCCTCCATCGCCTTCTCCTGCTTGCCGGCACCTCCATCGGGAGATCTGTTGAAACAGATGACCTTGCTGACTTGAGGGTTCCGGACCAGCTCGTCAAGAAGATACGAGCCCATGTTTCCTGTGGACCCGGTTAAGATGACAGTCTGGTTGCTCTTCCGAGCCTCCGGTCTACCAGGCTTGGCATGGATCAAGTTCTGTGAAAGGCGATTGTAGAGCTCCTTCATAGGTTCAACGCTAGGACCATCGGAGCTGGCCTCTCCATTTGCCTGGCCACGAACAACGTTCCGGAGGATGTGGCCGGCAAGCTGAATAGGGCTTGCGTGAGCATACATGTCGCGCGCTTCGATGTTAGCCCCGCTGTAAGCCTTGTCCGTGACACGTAGACTTGCGGTGACAAGTCGAGCGGCAGTGATTATCTGGAGAGAGTCCATGCCAGCGGCAAAGAAATCTGTGGTGGGTTCCATACGAGGCACTCCAAGATGCTCACGGAAGAGTTTCTCAATCGACTGGGCAAGCGCAGCCTCGGAGGTGAGATCAAGACGTGGAACTCTGTCGAGGGGAATCTCCCTGGGGTTGGCATAAAGGTCCTCGATCTCATCGTGATACAGTTTGACCGTGGCGGCTCTCTTCACAGTTCCTTTGTCAGCTAGGAGGAACGGCTTCTCGGGCTTGGCCAACATAATCAGATGTCTGACAAGCCGCCCGTGTGTAGCTAGCAGGGATATTAGTACAACGACAAGGGTGAAAATAACTTAGGGCTTGGCCGCCTACCAATGATTTTGTTTGCCTCGGCGATTGTCGGCATCAAGCGGTCAATCAAGTCGTCTTCTTGCTCCTTGGTCTTCGGATACGTCATGGGCTCAACAATGAGTGCAGGCTGGAACTTCCAGGCCCCAACGATGAGCGCGTTCCGCACTTCAGCGTGGCCCATGATGATGTCTTCCATGTCGGTAGGATTCAGCTTCTCTCCATTGGACAGGTTGAGAATGTTGTCCGCTCTACCGTAGAACTTCCAATGATTCGGCAACGTCGGGTGAGGCTTGTACAAATCGCTGGTGTTGTACTCTTCCTTATCCGGGAAAGTGTAGAAGATTCCTTGGATCGGCACTTGCTTCGACTTGCGAGTAATGACCATCTCGTAGACGTTGTCTTCACCTGTTGCCCGGCGCCATTCGAGTCCAGAGTACTCATCATTGTAAATGAAATACTGCCAAAGCTCCGGGTTCTTTTGGTACCACACGCACATGGGCAGAGTTCTGGAAGACGTCAGTTACTAACCCAAAGAGGAGGGTGGGAAACTCACTCAGTCGCACCAATGATATTGATCAGATGGACTCCGTTTCTGACCAAGGTGTCGCCGGCCTCCTGACTCAAAGGACCTACAAGAATGTCAGTCAAATCCCCGAATGATTTCCGCATTGGCTACACATACCGCCTCCAAAACCGACGAATGCAAGGTTCTTCAACTCTGCGATCTGCTCAGGGCGGTGGGATATCTCTTCCAAGACTGAGGGAGGAAGTCCAGCGCTGTCCGCTTTCGAGTATTTGATGCACTCGATACATAGTTCAGGAGTCAAGGGACGGTCTGCGTAAGGAAGTGCCAGAGGCTTTCCTCCCAAGACCATCGTACCAAGAAAACCATAAACGCCACCAGCGTGAAACAAAGGCACTGTCGGTCGCGTCAGAGGGTCTCGTTCTGTGGATGAGGACAACACTTACTGGGACTGAAGTGCCGCTTGGTTCTGGCATCCATAGCCTGCCCAGTGGGCACAGTGCCATTCCAAGGGGGCAATTGGCGAAGAGTGTCGGTCATGGCGACGGATCCGTGCTTGACAACGATTGGCTTCGGAAGTCCAGTACTACCGCTGGTGTGAAGAACGACAAAGGGGTCCCACTCAGCGTCGGCCTGCGTCTTAGTGTAAGGGATGGTGGGAACCTCTGGCTGTGCTAAGATTGACTCCAAGTCTTCGACTTCAAGAACATCCATTGGTCGGCTCTTCAACCATAAATCGACTAC